AGCGCCACTTCTGGTTTTCTGTGGTTTATTGGAGATAAGAGTCTCCCAGACTTTCCTGCCCAGGCTGGCTTTGAACCATGATCCTCAGATCTCAGCCTCCTGAGTAGCTAGGATTATATGTGTGAGCCACTGGCACCTGGCCTGGGTGTGGTTATTAAGTGTGTTATTCATCTGCCAGTGGAAGGAATGGGAGTGGGAGGGAAGCCAAAAGAAATACTTTCTTTTGAGGACAGTTATAAGAAGTTCTTTCACAACATAAAATTGTATAAATTGACTTTTCTTTTTGCTCCACTACTTATTTTGTATTACTTAAAATATTTATCTTTCTTTAGGGAGTTATTTTCAATCATAAAAATCTAGTCATTTTCTCCAGTTAAGTCATTTCATTCATGAATAAATCTCCCTTTCCTAAAAATACTATGACAGTAGTATAGATTTTCTATTGTTTTCTGCTTTGATCTCTTTTGGGCTATGGCGAATTGATTCCTATGTAAAAACTAGTCACATATTTTGATACTTCAAAAGGTGAATGTAAATTTATTCAAACATTTTTTTGGTTCATGTAAAATTAATAAGCACATAAAGAGCTCACATTTGGCAATTATTGAATCTTCCTACTCAAAAACATGGAGCCTTGCTGGGTGCAAGTGGCTCATACCTGTAATCCTAGGTACTCAGAAGGCTGAAATCTGAAGCTTGCAGTTGCAAGCCAGCACAGGTAGAAAAGTGTGAGAGTCTTATCTCCAATTAACCACCAAAAAGCTGAAAGAAGTGGAGCTGTGATTCAACTGGTAGAGCCCCAGTCTTGAGAAGATAAAGCTAACGACTGGGCCCTGAGTGTAAGCCTAGAACCAGCACACACACACACACACACACACACCAACAACAACAATGATATAAATACATAAAACCTTGGAGCCAGGGACTAGACACAAGACTTTGAGCGTTAGTAGGTACCATTTAAACAGGGTCCATTGAGTAACAATTAGCATTTGGGCCACTATCAACATCCTACCTGACAGTCTCAGGGCCCAGGACCACCCCAGACACAACAATGGCTAGTGGCAGAGGCTGATCAGGTACCCACTGCTCTCAGTGCAAGAGGAAGCGCCATCGTTCTATCTCAAAGTTTCTTTCTTAGCCCCCTCCAAACAGTAGAGGACACATAGACATGGATATACACTGTTGTAAAAATGCTGATGAATATTATTTGAAGAATTTTTAGGTGTGAAGTGGATGCATTAGGATTCATATTTCATTTACTTTTCTATTATGGTTAAAAACCATTAAAATGCATACATAAAACTAAACTCTTACTTGTACTTAACTGTGTTAGTTAAGACAGTTTTAAGTCATTGAAAGACGGTGATTGTAAGGATGGGAAAACTAGGAAAGCTTTGATCTTGTTCTGCTGTTCAGAAAGATAGTCTGGGTGCTAGACCCTCACATAGCTGTGCAAGTGTGTGCTAAAGAGCCTGCAGTGGGAAGTCAACCCACCCCTGTATTCTTCCTCCCACTAACCACCACCCACTCCCCCAGCTCGTACCCTCCTTAGCAGGCCCTATTACCTGTTCTTCTTGTCTCTGTTATCCACATGGATTTTCCCACTATCAAGGATAGATACCAATTTCTCTACTTTCCCTGTGCTTGCAGCCTTGTGCAGCTTTTCCTTAGGTTTGTATTTGGCATAGAAATTTCGCCAATAGTGGCTATCAATATTTTCATTCCCAGATTGCAGGGAGGTACTCTTATTGCCATCGCAGAAGCCCAAAGGTGTCCTCTCCTTAATCCCAAAGCCAAATATTTTCTTCATGGCTGAAGCTACGAATCTTAGAGATCCCTTCCTTCCCTGGAGGCCTTTCACTTCCCTTGAAACCCAACACAAGCATTTCTAAGTTAGCCAACTTCATCTCACACACAACATCCTAACAGCGATGCTCTGTGGTATTGAAACTATCAACGGTAGTTGACAGAACATTCGTGCGCAAGCAACGCTGATCAACACGCGCGCACCTGGGAGTCAAAGGAGCTCGCTGAGCAGGGCGCTGGGCCAGTGGTTGCACGCCTGCAATCCTAGCTAATCAGGAGGCTAAGATGGGAAGATCCTGCTTTAAAGGCTGTCCAAAGGGATGGGGAAGAAGAATTCACAAGCCTCCGGTCTCCAGTTAACCCGTTAGCAAGCATGACATTAAGGTCAAGTGGAAGAGCTTGGATATGCAAGCAAGCCAAGAAAGAGCATGAAGCTCTGAGTCCAACCCAAGGTCCCCACCTCCATCCCCACCCCCACACACAACACAGATAAAAAAAAAGCCGACGTGGAGATAAAGCTTGCATTCCGTATCTCACCCTGACAGCCAGAACTATTTATAAATGCAAAATAAAGCCTGTGATATTCCAATTGTTTAAAAAAAAAAGTCTAAGTCCGGGTTCTGGTCACAAAGAGGAGCCAAGCAGATGCAAGTCGAGCCTCATGTAGCCAGCAGTGTAGGACAGGGGACTTGGCTTGGCCCCAGTGCAAGCGGGAGGAGCCTGGCTGCTTGGGGCGAGCGATGGGCTCGGTTCCCTGGTTCCCCTTCTAGAGGAGCAGGCTACCCGGAGGGGGCGGGGCGTGCAGAAAACGCATTGACCAGAGAAGGGTTTGGAGCCTGCACTGAGCCATGGGCGCAGTGGACTGTGGCGCTGCCTGTGTTAGTCTTACCCTTAGTCCTCCTTACCCAGCTCCTTCTCCTCCCTCTTCCTCCCCACTATGGCAGACTGAAAGCCTAGGAGCCTACGCCTCCCAAGGCCGACTGGCCATGGGGTGGCTGCCCGAGAGTCTGGCTGCTTCTCCAACTCATACTGGACTTCCTGCTTGCCTGTTGCTAGTCCTGCCAGGTTCCTGAAAAATGAAATAAGATGGAAATCAATGTGGTTAACAGAGACAGGGACCTCTCCTCTCTCTGGTGAGATGCTTGCTGGAGGCAGTGGCCAAGCTCCAGGAAGACCTGCAACAGGAATTTTCTCTAAGTGGGAATCGTGACCTGCAGTCTCCAAAACTTAGTTCAAGACAATCCTGGAGGGAAGCTCAGTTCTCTAATGACTGTTCTGACCATCTATGCCAATGGAGTGTGGATGAACTATTCACCCCAGAAAAAGGTCTCTTATTGAAATAGGGATGCTACAAAAATATTAATCTCAAGTGCATGCATGAACACATCTTGAAAAATACAAATGGTTTATGGGAGTATATGGTGATGCAATCCCTGTTTCCTCCACAGGCAGGACTAGACACCAGAAGATACAAGGACACTGACTTTCAAGCCTGAGATCTTGGCACTTCCCTGGAAGGAAGCAAATATCATTATGAGCAGGGAGGTACTTTGGAAGTATTAGCCATAGATTCCACCTATGACCAGTGTCTCCTAGAAATGATGTACCCAGCTCACAATGAGATGGAATTAAGAAGATGTGTCCAGAAGTTCAAAGGTATGCAGTGTGACTAGTCTTGTGAGATTCAGCAGCTTTTGCTCTGAGATTTTTTTAACAAATTTGTGATTTTCTAATTCTGTCATTTCTTTTATTCATTAACATTCTAAAATAATAATTTTCCCTTTCTTCTATTAAGTTATTCATAAATATCAGTGATTCATGAGTTTTTTTTATCTGCTTTGATACTCAAGGCAGTGATTGGTAATATGACAGTGACAGGAATTTGGAGAATGTGACCATTTCATTTGTCAGTGTTCTTCTACCAAAAGCCACCATAAATACACCTAGAGTTACATAAGTAGGTTTTATTACTCACTTATTTCTTTTTTAAAAATTGTTATTATGAG